CTTTCCTTTTGAAAGCAAGACATTATATGTTCCGCAAGTACTTGTGTAGGCGGTGTCCTCCAGCTCGTAAAAGAGGTCGGCCGAAACGTGGTCTAGTCCCTAAGCCGTGGCTGCCTTCATGGTCTCGATTGCGGTGCGTGCTTCATCAGGTCGAATCCTTAGTAGTATCTTTCCGCGGAAATAATGGGATTTGACACGGGTGTTGACGAGCGAAAGAGATCGGTGTAGAATCTCTTCATGATCGATTCCATCTTTTGTCGGGAAGGTGTGTGAGTCCCGTCTTCGTTTATAATCTTGTCAGCGGAACACGGCGAGAAGCTCTTTGCAGTACTTCTTTAGACTTCCCTTGCGCTGTTCCCAAAACTTTCAATCACCTGTACTTTCAAAAATCCTCTTGCAAAGCTGTTCTGCAACTGGTATTGGCTACCAGTCGTTCGAGATGTGATGCGGTCGGTCCAGCCTCAGTACTCTCCTTTTCTCAAGCATAACCTTGGCTGCGTTCGGAATTCGTTCCAAGTTTCTTGTTGGCATTTAGGCACTTTCACTTTTTCAACCCTCTAACAAGCATTTCGTAGTCTTCCGTTGAATCGTCCTCGACGGGCCAGTCACAAACGGTAGAGCTCCTTGACGCCGTCAAATATGACTTCTCTCCCTCCTCCAACACGGTGGTATATCTTCTTTTCCAGCTTTTGGCTGAACCGCACTTTTGCTCGAAGGAGGCGTGATTTGAACCACTGCTGAAGGATGGTACCCTGCGGTCTAGTAAGCACCACTTCGGTTGGTGAGAATGTGGTCGATGTCCGCATGAATCGTACCGTTGGGCAACTCCCATCTCCACCGGCAGTGCTCTCTCTTCACGAAGTGGTGTTGCCATGGAAAAGTCGATGGATAAGAGCCCAACAAGACGGGTTACCATTCTCATTCCGGAATCCTGATCCAATTTCCCATCCTATGCCCCCCTTCTTCTGACATCCCCAATTTTGCATTGAAGTAACCCACGACAATCTTGTAGAAGGACTTCCCTTTTCGGATGACTTCCTCCAAAT